TTTCTTTTTTTTTTTTTTTATCTCTCCACGAGTCCGCTCCCAATTTACAATTAAAACGAGAAAATTATGACAGGATATGAAGCAGAAGATGGAAGAAAAAAAAGGGGGGGGAGTTAAAAATGAAAAAAACGAAAAACGGCATACATTACAAATGCGAAGAAGTACACGCGAGCTTACGTATTATATACGCAGGTGCGTACATACGCATGCTTCTTATCTGTTCAATACGTGCTGACACGCAATGAACTCCACCTGAGTGTATAAAACGGGTACTTAAAACGCATATGCCTATGCATACTCAGGTCATAAATGAAGATTAATTTGGGGATATTTCGAATCTCAAATTATCTCAATTAAAAAAAAATAGAAAAAAAAAACTAAATAGAAGAATTAAAAAAAAAATAAATAAATAAATAAAAAGAATGCATTTTATCCTAACAATGTTAAAAGGGAAAAGAAAAAAAAAGTACATCCTCATACGTGCAGTAGGAATTGTTTTTATGTAGATTTGTAAGCAAATCCATTTTGCATGTGCCACACGTGATATTTTATACACTCGAGGAAAGTATGCATACGAAGGATGCACCGAGGGAAGGGGCATGGGAGATATACGTGGTGCGTGGGGGCGGCTGCCAACTGACTAGCAAACCACGCGAAAGCAGTGTATAATTGTGTACAATTATGTGCAATAGTGTACAAGTCACGTAGAGGTCATTACAGTCATGTATGTATGCATGCCTCCTCGTTTGCCTTAAAAAGTGAGCACTGCTTATGGCCGCCGCGCTTAAGCACATGTGGGGAAAGACGACAATGCGGAGGGTGCTTAGCGCGCAAAGGAAAGCGCCAAGCTGGAGAAGGAGAAAAGTCGAAAGAGAAAAATGCACGGAAATGATGAAGCAGAAAAGGGCAACAAAAAAAGCGCGGCAAAAAGGGAAGAGAGAAAAGTCCAGGGGAAAAACTACGTGAAATTTTGGTACACTTTTGCTTTGGGTCGAGGGGGCGCGCAAAACTGGCACTAATGGGGCAAAACTTCGCAAACAGGTGGCGAAATGGTCGAAAAGAGGCCGCAAAAAAAAAAAAGGCACACGTAACACTGACCAACTACGCAATCACTGCCAAGGACGATAGAAATGGATAAACGCGTACGGAGGGAGTACACGGGGAAACCAGCCAAAAGGAAAAAAGGGAAGGCCAACTGAAAGTAACGTTAAATTGAATTCATATAAGATATCATCCTCCCTCCGTCGATAGCCTTTTGTTTTCCAATTTTTTCTTCAAAATGTATCCTCATTTCTCCCTTTCATTTGTGTACACATTTTTGAGGAGCTACTCTGACACAGTGCGCGATAATGAATGGGTGGGGACATACGGGCACCTCTACTTAAGTACCAATGTGCCACACACGGTGAACAAAAAAAAGAAGAAAAAATGCAAAATAAAAGCGGAGATTAAGAAAAAGAAAAATATATTGAGGAAATCGCAAAATGACAAAAAAACAAAAAATAAAACTTAATGGCAAACCAAATGGCATACAGTTGCTCATAACAAAATGACCTCCCAAGGGAAGAAACCAACAGATCAGCGCAACAAAAATGAGCAGCAAGGTACAAACGAAAGAGGAGCAACATAAGATACCTTTATAGCATCGCATTGATGAAGGCATATACACAAGGGAGTAATAGTGTTCCTTTTCGTGGTGCACACTCGTTAAGCAACTTCAGTTCGAATGACCATACCGTTCGCGCACTGTTCATCACCCTTAAGTTTATCATTCGCCTGGGGAAGGCCGGCTAAAATGAGAAAATCGAAAAATGAGGACGCCCCTGCTGGTTTACCTTTTCATGTTTGCCTATTTTCCTGACGCGTTCCGCACAATTCACAAACAGGACAAGGAGCGAACGACACAGCTATAGCCGTAGCTGTAAAAGGGGGAGGTTCCCCAATTCAACGTTGTCAAGAAAGTGATCCACAGATAAGAGTCTCCATTATCTGCTACGTGTTCTGCATGTGCTAAAGTTAGGTGCGGCACATTGTGGGAAAAAAAAAAAGAAAAATTATGGGTGGCGTAACGACAGGACTACACTCCATGCACAATAGATAAAATCGGAGAAGTTTTCTTACGGCATTTTTGTGGCCATAAACTCGAAGGGGGTAAAACAAGAGAGACGGGTGTCCAATTTTTTATTTGTCCCGTCGACCTTATTTATGGCCCCCCATGTGCATACGGGAAATTGTTCGTCTGGTCGAATTTATTTGGTCACCCTCCAAGACGAAATTATTTTTTAGCCCAATTTGTTAAGTGTCCTAAAGGTTTCGTGAAAGAAGTGCAGATGGCAAATTGTTCCCGTTCCTCCGTGTGCGCACAGAGAAGGTAGTGCATCCGAAGTGCCTTTTTCTTTTTTTTTTTTTTTTTTTCACAGTGAGACGGAGTGACACGAAATTGCCATCATATGCACAACTGAATTATTCATTTTTGTTCTTTACCAGAGTGCCTACGTGATTGTCCCCCGTAGGACACAATGCGTAAATGCGGCTATCACAACAAAGGGGTGTATAAAAGAAAGCGTTTTTGCGTTTGTTCCCTTTTCCTCTTAAGAAAGCAAAAAAAAAAAAAAAATAAAAAAAAAATAAATAACATGTAATCTGGGGCATTGCTATACACACACTGAAGATGTTCCCCCCCCCACCTCATATGTGGTTTTACATTTCTCATTCAACAAAATTCCAATCAGTCCGAATGGATCAACCTGCGTGGTCTTTTCATCCACATTTATTATCTGCTGTCTTGCAGCGATACACCTTTTTGCACATTTTGTGAAATAGCTTTGTTTGCCTTTTGGATGGAAGAGGAGTTACCAAATAAATGGGGGGACTGTCCATCATTCTGCTCAATTTTACATGGGCAAAAAGGGGGGGAAACCTAATTTTGTGCATTTTCGAGCCTACGTTGAGTACTCCCCCCTGCGCCGTCTCCTATATTCCTGTTCAGTTGCGAAAGTGGAACATAAACAGGGAAACAAAGGGTAAATCAGTGGAAGTGAAAAATTTCGAATGATATATTTTCGTAATGCTTCCTAATATGCCACTTTCCTTGCTACAAGCTTAGTGCTCATTTTTTCGCAGTCGTCAGGGCGCTTCACCATGGGTAAATTCGCAGGGATGAAAAAATCGAGTCGTAAGGCAGAAGCCACTTTGATCATTTTCGCGAGCACTTTTGCGAAAACTTTCCTGTACATGCCTCTCAAAATATATACATATTTTTCTTCCTTCATTGTATCAAATTTTTTTTTAAAAGGTTCAGAATTTTCGCCTACAAGCTGCTGAAAGTGAAGTACATGCAGGGCGTCAAACGGGCTTAGCCGGTAATTCATTTGGAGCACAAATATATTTCGCCTCGCTTGGACAGCCTTGCACAGAGGGGGAGAGAGTGGAAACGCAAAATTGATTTCTCACTGTGCGCGTGAGTTATAAAGATACACCCGTGCTGTCATCAAATGCATGCATGCTCGAAGGTGCTTAGTCCCTTTTGGCAGTTTATGCTCCTCTTTTCATCTTCTTCCAATAGCTCACCCCCCACAGGCTCATGCGTAGAAATATTCCAAAGCGCAGCGGCGAACCGAGGCACGCGTAATGAGTGCTCCTCATTGGGAAAAGAAAATTTGCCTTGTGGAAGAAAAAAAGTTTCCACGGAAAAGTACTCACTCCAAGCGGTAGTGACGCTGCACTCCTGCCAGAGCTGTGTTGACAATTCTTCTGCCATGGCATGCATGTCTGCCTCCCGAAAGGTTCAATTGTGGTGAGGCAAGACCGTCCGCTGGCACGACCCCTCCCGCAGTTTCACCGCAGTGTGACCACAGTGTTACCGCAGCGCTTATCCTTTTCATGCGCAGGTGTGCAAAAGGGGGGGGCAAAGCGTCGACGTTTTTAAAAAGGGGAGGGAGTTGCTCACCAGCGCGCGCAGATTTGAATGATACAAGGGAAGAGGGGAAAATAAAAAAAAAGGCCCCCCCCAAATCAGGGCAACCCCGCGGTACACAATTCGAGTGCACATAAAAAAAAAAAAAAAGAGAAAGAAAAAAACTGTGCAGAAGAAAGTGTGTAACAAGGGGAAGATGTATTGACATGTGTAGGAAGAACTCCTATGACACGTACAACTACTCAAGTAGTATTTTTAACAGTCCAGGGAAGCAATCCATGTTGAGCAAATCTTCGCAAAATTTAAACGGAAGTTACGGGCACAGCAATCAGAGTACACAAAATGAAATGATAACTATTATCCTAGAGCAGTGTGTGCAGGAATGGTTCCCCTTCTTAAGAGAGCATGAAGATGGAAGAACGAAAGTGGAGGGAAATAAACGAACCAACTTAAATGAGGAAATAAAGAGTCTAAAAAATTTCTACAAGGGGGTCAGCACCCCGAACTTCCCCCTGAAGAAACTGGGAAAAATGGACAGGAGCATTTCTAGTTTGAATGATGAAATTGACGATGAAGACATTTTCTACAATAGCAATAGTTTGTATATGAATTTGCTCAGCGGAGGAGAGGAGGCAGAACCCCCTTGTGAGGAAGGAGAAGCCAGCCATGAAGGGGGCAACTCCCGGGGTGAAGAAGACGATGTCCTCTTTAATGAAGCGTACACCAGAGCAAAAACCAAAAGGCAGGAAGAGAACGAAGACGCCATACGCGGAAGAAATCCGCTAGAGGAGAATCTCTTCTATGACTGCGTAGCGGAAAAGGAGGGCGCGCACAATAAAGGTGACAGCAGGAACGCGAAGAAGTGCGTGAATGAGGGCCATAGTGAGGACCAGCAGGGGGAAGAAGGAACCCCCGTGTGGTCACTGCAAAAGATAAGGAACCAAAACGAAGACGAAAAGAAAAACTTTTATCTGCAAAAATGTAGAGATCAGATGAGCGAGAAGAAGGAGCACAAGATGAAGCAGCCCCTCTCGTTATTGAAGAGGAGGGAGGACGGAAAAAGGGAAGAGGACAACAATAGCGACGGCCTCCACCAGGATAAGGAGGAGGGGGAGGTGGAAGAGGAAGAGGAGAAATACAGATTGCAAGACAGGGTTAACGCACTCAGCGGGGGTAGACACAATCGTAGTGATTATGACGGTCGCGACACAAGCGCAGTTAACTCTTCGCACAGCAAAAAAGGTGCAGAGGAGGAAGAAGAAGAACAGGAACAGTGTCACCAACGCAAGAGGAACATGAGACACCTCACTGTGCAGGGTCTGAGGAGAAGAGAGGAGGACATAACCACCCAAGGTTATCTATCAAATAGAAGGAAGGAAAAAATATCAAACGTGTCCAAATTGGCTGATTCACAGAAGGGGGATAACTGCATCAACAGAGAGTCGGTTCCACGGGAGGATTACTCCAGTAGGAGCATAAATAACATCATTCAGGAGATAAAAAAGGAGGAATCAAAGGAGAAAAACTTCACCATGGATTCATATGGAACTGTGTACCTGTCCATATGCACGAAAGTTTTGGGAAAAGACGTCGATTATTTCTTAACCCCCAGAATGTTACCCAATGAGGAACTATTAAATGAAAAAAAAAAAATCAAAGAGATTTTAAAACTTTACGATAAGTTATTTTATAGTCATTTTAAATTTATCCCAAACAAGATTTACAAGGAAACGTTAAGACCTATTTATTCGTATTACCAGAACTTGAAATGTACCCTCGTAGGGGGGGGGATGTCAGTGGGTTCGTTCGATGGCAAGTCTAGAAAAAGCTGCTCGCTAAGCAGGGACTACGAAATTGAAAGAAGCAGTAAGAAAAGAAAAGCGAATGTGTAGAGCGGGCGTGCAGTTGCAGTGCGGCTCTGCGCAGGGGCTAAGCGGCAACCCTGTGCGGGAGCGCATGGCTTCCTATGACCGTGGGCATGTCTCTGTTCCCTTATGCGGGGGCATGTCTGTTGCTAGTTATTACACAGGAACCTGATCACCCACCTCCTACGCACATCTTACGCCCGCATCGCATACATTCGCTTCCTCCCCCTTTTGCCTAAGCCAATTACAACTCGCATGACGAGATTAAAAGCATCGAGAGTAGGCCCGCCGACAGTCTGGAGTACAAAAAATTGGGAAGCTCCTCCAACGCGGAGTTCAAGACCGTGGGGAGCTCCTCGAACGCGGAGTACAAAAACTTGGGGAGCTTCTCCAATTTAATAAAGGACCAGAACATTAAGAAGATTTTGCTGGACGTGGATGACAGTAAAGACATAAGTCACTTGGAAAAAAAGTACAAATATATTTACAAAGATCTGGTGAAGCTAAAGAGTCTGCTGCTAAAAAAAAGGCATTATAAAAATATACTTTTCGAATATCAAAAAAAATTCGTTCAAAATAACAACAGGTGTGTCAAAACGTACAGAGATATATATCCCGTGGAGAAGGAATATAAAATTTACACCCAAATTAAGAAGGAAACTGGGGATGTCATTAACAGCATTAATGCCAATTATAAGAAGCATTACTTCAATGGCTGATTAGGGTGAAGACTCCAGCGATGCGAACCTGCCTTTTGTTTTCTCCACCGCTTTTCCATACCTTTTTTTTTTTTTTTTTTTTGAACTGTTTGATGTTACGGAAGAGGTAACTGCGACGCCCACTGTACGCACGCGTGTACGTACAGGGCCTGTTTTGTATATCCCTCCATATAGTTGCAGCATTTTCTGCGCTTCCAAGGAGTTCTTCACCGCGATGTCCCGCTTTTCGCTCCAACGCTTGAACGTACCATCTGCTTAACCAAATGGGAGAGGGGGTAATCACCCGCGTGGGCGCACACATGCCCATGTTATATGCCACTTTGACGGATGGAACAATTGCGGGGATTTTCTCGGAGGGCGAACTCGACAAGACAAGGGTTGTACGATTAGCCAACCGTTTCGCATAAACTGGACGAGAAAAAAAAAAGGGAGCGCACAAAATTCGGTGCTCCCTCCATCGGGTGGAAAAACCACGTATAAAAAATGCACATACCTGCAACGTGACAGCTGCACACATAAAAAAAGGGGGAGAAGTTGGCTGGCGCCCTAATGCTGGATCGCCCTTAACACAGCACGGGGCCGCCAATTTCAATCTGTATTCTCCTCGTACTTCTCGAAATAATGCCTGAAGTACAGGACGGCGGCATTTATATCTTTGATTTGATTTTTGGGGAAATTGAGGATGTTCTTTTCCGGCGGAACTTCCTCCTGTTTCCTTATTCTGCAGTTCTTAACGTGAGTTCGCAAGTTGACCATTCGTCTTTGCTTCATCAGTTTTCGCCTTGTGCTTGGGGGCACGTGTCCCTTGGCCTTCTCCCTTAAACGTTCGACATTTTTACAGTCCTTCACTCCTTTTAAAAACATTTTTATAATTTCAAGCTTTGATAAATCTTTCCTGTTCTCTATGTCAATTTTGACTGTGGCGTTTCTGAGCCTTTTCATGTAGCTTCGGACTGCACGTGGGGGGTTGCCTTCGCGTCTACGTTGTCTGCATCGCATGGGAACATTTACACTTTGTTTTTTCCCCCATTGGGGGATGTAACTTTGGCATGTCGAGGTGAATAGGAGGAGGGTGAAGCCGAACAGGTAATTCCTCATTCGGTAGGGTTTTTATTCGTCAGCAAAATGGCAAAATATAGATGCATCCCCGTGCATGTGTTGCTATACCTCCAATTATTTTCACGTCATTTGTTTGTACATTCCTAAGTTCTTTGTCCGGACTGGTTTTCAGTAAAAGTATCGAACCGGGGGAAATGTCTGCCTTTACCTAGTGTGCATTGCAATCCTGTGGCCGCTTCCTAATTTAAGTGCATATAGCTGAACACGCCTGTACGTTGGAAAGGTGGGGAGGCGCGAACTGATTGGTACAACTTAATGAGTGGCGACAACTAAAGGGGTAAAAAAAAAAAAACACGCGGATTGATAAAGTGAAGCGGTGAATGCAATCCTTTACCAATGTACAGTACTAAGGTGCACATAACAAAATCGAAAATGACTTTCTCCCTTTTGAGATTAAACAGGCTCTTGTTTGTGAGCTTCGCCATGGAGGAAAAATAGGGGGGGAAGCGGGAATGAGATCAATTGGGGAGCACAGACACGGACTTGGCTAAACATCGAACGAACTGAGGTGTGCACTTTTTTGTTCGTCATTTAGGCGTGTAGCTGGATTAGCGCGAGCGTCAGAGGGCCTCACTCTTCGCAGCTTCTCTGGCCCTTCTTTGGCTCTTCTCTGCCACTTTTTTGCCGTTTCTTTGCTCCTTATTTGCCACTCTGCACCACTTTGGAGTTACCTGCTCCCGGAGGGCCACCAAGAAGGTGAAATTTCCAATGGCCGTGAAAATCGCGGCAACTGAAATCCGTTCGCCGAAAAAAGAGTAAGAATAAACATACAACAACAAAATAATTAACGCGGAAAGGGTAAAAGCAAGGAAAATATCTATGAGCTGAATAATCCTTGGTGTGTGCCGGTATAGATCGCAAAGGAAGCTTCGTATGCTTTTCATTTTCTCCGCGTCGCTGCTTTCGTCTTGTGAGAGTTGTTGTGGTGTGGGGGGGGTAACGGCAACCGCGGTGCACGAGTACATATATGCACATATATGTAGATATAAATGGACGTATACCTATACGTGCTTGTTCGTACCCCCCACCGACATTTCGACGCAGAATACCCGCTAGGAAAAAACTACAAAGGTCGAAGTTAGGCTAGCCCGCAGGGATCCGCCGAGAATGACATCAAAACAGGAAAAAAAGGAAAAAAAAAGGAAAAAAAAAAGGTCCCTGCAGTAATTGTTTGCCCACGTTGTATCCTTCCAAGTTGGGACACTTCCAATGATGGGAAAAAAAAAAATTTCTCCCACCTCGCGCCCATCTTTTTGCACATACTTTATCCGTATTACACAGGTTCGGAAGTGAGAGAGAACTCTTACACCAGAATTTTTGACTCCAAATTATAATATAAAAGTAAACCAACTTTCTCGATAGGCATATTTGTATACGTTTACATGAGTAGGTAAGGAGGCGCCCCCTACATGCGCCACAGCGCTCAGGGGCACCCTTCCCTAGCCCTCCGTGTGAGCACTCTGTGTCGTTTTATAATTGACATCACGCAAGTGTTATGTAGGCAAGGTGAGAAACTTACACGTTTGTGAGTACCTCATGTGGAGCATCTTTTTGTTCCGCCATCAGTTTTAACAAACTGGAAGAGGAAGGCTTGTGACAGCTGGAATTGATCACCAGTGCGTTGTTCCAATCTCTTTTTTTTTTTTTTAATTTTTTTTTTCCCAAAATTTTCTCTATTCAGCAGTTTTGTATCCATCGCGACTTCTACAACATGAGCGTTGGATTTTTTTTTTCATTTCGCTGAGCATCCCCTGGGAGCATCGTAGAGAGCAGAAGGCTCTTTGAAAAATGCTTCCCCATCCCACGCCCTGGTACGTCGTCTCTACGAAAACGTCCGACGGGCGTGCATCCCCGTTCGGAGAAAAGGATAGCTTTTCCTAATCTGTTGTATGAGCAAGAACGAGTGGAGACCGGTCCGGTACGGAAAGTTTTAACCAATGGGTACGCACTCCCCCCGTGAGAGAGAAGCAAGTTACCCCCTGCGTGAAATGCAAAGGGAAGGGGAGACATCCTAGTAGACCTGATGAGTGGGGATGTACAAATGTATACCCTCCATTAGGACCATTTCGTGTTACGCCTCCTGCTATATATTCGCCCTATTTTTTGCGCACTGCGCTCCGCCCCCAGCCCCCTGTGTGTCATGTTCGAACTTCCCGGGCAACATAATGCTTAGAGGAAGTTCCATAAAATGATCACCTCATTATGTTTAAAAAATCTGAAGAAGAATGAGAGGAAATTAATCCATTATCTGCTAAGGGGGGACTGTGGAAACAATGCAGGCGTTTCTCAAACATATTATAAAAAAAAGAAAGGGGCTCCCAATGTAGCCAAACTGAGCAAACTCGCAGAAATGAAGGGTCATAAAAAGGACCTGTCCCTGTGTCGAAGTAGTCATTTAACTTGTTCCGGTTTTTTTTCCCCTCCCAAGTGGGAAGGAAATATGATGAAGGATCTTCCGTTTCGAATAACCAAGGGAAGGATGTCCTCCTATGTAGAATATAAAAAGAGGCGTAACGAAGAAGACAAGTTTGGTCAGAACAATATAGAGAAATATGTAAGCATAAGTAGTACCATCACGAGGTTTATTCCATTTCAAAGGAGTTGTTTTCCCACCCGAGTTGGCAACCTGTACAGTGGTGTTCGTAGAGGATGCTGTACGAGGAGATTCTTTGGCACCTCCTCAGAAGGTACTTCTGGTGCGTATTTCAAAGGGGATAATACAAAGGTGAACCGAATGGAAGGGGAATCCCTGGGGGGCGCTAAAGGTGAAACCCCAAATGAGGGAAACCATGAAAGTGGAAGTCACTCCGAAGTGACGTTAACTGGCAACACATCCAATACTGCTAGCGACAGTGAAAGCGCCCCGCCAAACGGAAATAAAGACAAGCAGTCTCTGAGGCAAATATACCTGCACAAACAACAAAGGGAAAAAATGATCAAGATGTACCTCCTGCTGAGCCTGTTGCTAATGCCATTCGGCCAGCTATACATGTATTGCATCGAGAATGACATAAGCATGGAGGAGTTATTAAAAATCTTAAAAAATAAAGTGGAAATTCTAGAAAATAAATACAACGATATAATGCAGGAACTGATTGATAAATATTTTCCACTGAGTAATGAACCATTATTACCCGACTTCAAAGATTTAAATTACCCAGAAAATTTACCAACCCTAGTTATTGACCTGAATTATGTAATAGCCAAATTAGAATATGACAGGAAAAGTGGATGGAGAGTATTGAAGAGACCCTATGCTGATTTGTTCTTTAAAGAGTTGTCTAGTTTTTATGAAATTGTTATTTGGTCAGATGATAACTTCCCGGTCGCACAGGAAGTGATTTCCAAGTGGGGCATACCTGCCATTGGATGCTTACACAGAGATCAATGCTCCAAGAAGAAAAGGCATTACGTAAAAGATTTGAAGAGACTGGGTAGGAATCTTGACCGAGTTGTTATCATTGACCACGATGCCCATGCCTTTATGCTTCAGCCGGAGAATGGCATCCTCATAAAGGAATTTCATGGCGATGTAAACGATAAGGAAATTTTGTGCTTGATCGATTTGCTAAAGTCGTTCGCTATCAGCAGCTACGACATTTCGCAGTTTCTGAGGAAGTACGGGGGGGGCGACTACAACATTGGGAAGCGGTACATGCAACTCAAGAGCGACACGGAGCAGAAGTCCCAGCGGATAAGGAGCTTCGGAAAAATCTTCCACCTGGACGGGAAGAAGACGCCCAACGGGATGTCCTTCAACTCGTGAGGGGTACTGTCAGCTGGTTTTCTGCTACGGATTTTGCTGCTACGGATTTTGTGGCTACCCATTTTGTGGCTACCCATTTTGTTGCTACCCAGTTTTGGCCTACTGGTGGGGGGCACAACTTGTCAACCTTTTAAGAAACCCAAACGGTTGATGTACATTTGTTCGACCCGTTCTTTGCCTCCTACGGGTTCCCCATTTTAGCCGGCTAGATGTGGTTCGCGAGGTGTGCGCGCAATCCTCGGCCGCATAGCCGTGAAGTTCGCCGTGGCTGCATCCCCTCAGTAACTTTTTCTCATCCGCTATTCTATCATTTGCATTTCTACCATCTCCACCTGTGCCTATCCACTTCTTCCTCTCCCCTTGTGCCTTTTTCTTATTCCAACCCAGAAAGTGCGCCATGAACAAACGCCCACGTGTACACTTCCCATTTGCCTTTCAAATTCAAACTTTAATCTTCCTCCCACAGAGATTAGAAAAAAAACGAAAAAGTGTTAATCAACGGTGCACGCAAGGAGGTGTCCTCCCTTCTGGCAAAAAAGAAGCAATGCAATTCAAAGTGCGAAATGAACTGGGTTAGTTGTTAAACAAATAGGCATGCAGAAGGCGGGAAACACAAGCGTCGATGTAGCTTGCTGAATTTTTCGACTAAAAGGGAAGACACTTCCACAGAGTGCTTCCACGCAAGGCCTCCACACAGCGCTGCCGTCAGCCCCTACATACTCGTAATTTTGTTGAAGAAGATCTTGACCTCCTCCGCGGCCTTCATGCCACGCTCCTTAATGTCGTGCACGTAGTTCTTGTTTTGGCTGGGCTCCCTCGGGGAGGCCTTCACCCCCGTGTCGTCCTGCTTCAGAGACAGGATCTTCTCAATCTCCTCGATGGTGCAAATGTTGTTATTTTCGGTGAGCAGCATGTTGAAGGAGTTCATGTCGTAGATGTTAGAGATAAATATTTTAATTAGAAATTTAATTTTGTTCGTTTGGTTTTTTACATAATTGAAGTATGTCTGAGGAATGATGCATTCGTCGTCCGCCGCTGCCCATGTCGCCGCCGACGCCACAATCGCTGTTCTGTGTGGCACAGCGTCGGTGTGCTGCTCCCCCTTTCTCGTATTCAACAGAACTGCCGTTTGGAACAAAATTTTTTCAATCTCGTGGCAGTCCAAAAGTAGCTGCTCAGCAGTCACATTGGTCATGAAATGAAACGAAAAAATGGTGTGATAAAACTGCTGAATGATCAGTGTGGTCGTTTTTTCGAGTAAATAAAGCAAGTAGGTCTCATTAAAAATTTTCTTAAAAAAGGAAAAATATTCACGCAGAAATAGGTCCATATTAGTTATGTAAGGAGTCTTTTCTTGGACATCATTTGGGTCAAATAAGTTTGCAATTTCTTTGTTCGAAATGATGGAATTTATTTTTTTTTCTACAAAGACGATAATTCCTTTTATACATTTTGTTTTTATTTGTAAAAATTGTTGTTCCTCTTCTTTGAAGCAAATTTTGTCCTTAAAAATTGGGTCAATAACTTTGACAAGATTTTCAAACGCTTCATTCATTGTTTGTTCTACGTAATAACTTGTATTGATTATGACGGACAGTAATTTGAAGTGCTGGTTTTTGTTTTCCTCCTTCACATCTTTTACAATTCTTCTGTTTAACTCTTCACTATATTTTAATAACAGTGTTTTAAAAAAAGTCACAAAATCGTACAAAGTTTGACAGTCGCTAAATTGAAGAATCATATTAATGTAGCTTTTGTAGAGGTAAAACATCTTGTAGGCTGACTTATACACTGTGTGTTGTTCTTCCACCATTTCAGGGTCCACTAGCGGGGTTTTTTCCTTTTTTTTTAAAATTTTGTTAACATCAAGTAGGGGATCCTTTTCTGAGGAGGACAATTTACATTTAGTGTGCACCCCTACCTCCAGTGGGTCTTTATTTTCGTCGTTTATTATGTTTTCAAATTTTTGAAGAATTTTTTTCTCTTCATATTTTAGCCAGCTGCACAGGTAGCTGTCGAACGCGCACGAGATGACTCCCTTGAAGTTTTGCGGTGCGTGGGAATTAGTATCATCATGCGCAGCTCTAATGGGGGGATCACCCTCCCCTTTGGTGTTGTCCATTTGGTCTTTTCTCTGCTCCCCTTCCGCGGGTGAAGGACCCTCCCCTTTGGAGCCTCCCCCGCCTGGAGCCAACTCCCTCCTCATAATTAGCTCTGGGAAGGGAAACTCCAAAGAAGAGTACGCGTCATGCGAGGTGGTCCTCTTTTCAATAAAAAACGTCACATTCTTGGTTAAAAAATTTTCAAAATTAATCACCTTAATGACAGTCTGGATTAGCGAAACGGGGTTCATGTCGTCGATAGAAGAAGACATAATCTTGACGATGTGTTTTTTGGTGAGAGAGCAGAATTTGCAGACAACGTGGTAAGGCATATTATAAACCGGAGGGAAAATATGAGCATATACATGTTCATACGTATTCAATGCACGCTTCAACCATGCCATGCGTCTGTCGATCCCTTCTAAATTATTTGCTTGATTTTCAAAAATGATAATGTATTTTTCGAGAAAAAAGTTGGAGAATTTTTTAACTACACTGGAGACCGACTTTTGATCCAAGTGATATAAACAATTGCATGCATCGAAAAGATTGATGGACATTTTGTCTCCTTCGACGTGGTTTGCTTCATTCACGATGATGAGATCCTTCTCTATGTGCACATCGGGGTCGTACACCAAATCGATGTCTTCACTTATCTGATTCTTTATGTCGTCGAAAAGGATGTTGGCATCTTCGTACAGTTTCCTTAATTTTTCGTTTGTCCTGAGGTCGGAGATGTGTATGAGCATTTCTTTGATAACAGAGACGAGGGGAATACATCCGCTGTACTCCCTTTTCAGAGCCTTTTTTTTCAAGCTGCTTATAGCAGTGATAACCATGACGATTCTTTTCATTATTATAATCGTTTCTGTTACGTTTTTTTTTCCTATGTCTAATTTTTTTATATCTTTACATAGCTTCACTAGAATGTGTTCACTTTCTTCTGTTTTTTTATCCACTTGTTCCATTTGGCTATTAATTATTTTCATTTTTTCTTTTATGTGTCTTAATTTTTGGTCATACTCATTTTGACTTAGGATGTGGCTCTCCACCTTTTCGCTGATGGTTTTATCGAGTTCCATTATTTCTCGGTTCATTTTTTCCACGTGAATTTCCACGTCTTCGATTTTGGCGATGTTGCTGTTTATGTATTCTTGCACGAACGCGTCGACGCCCCCCATGGTGAAACGGTGAAGTGGCAAAGCGGTGAAGAGGTGAAGTGGCGAAGGGGCGACGTGTCGATGTGGACTGTTCCGCCTAGGCTTCTCACAGCTACTGCAATGGGACCAATGATACGATGCGAAGCGAGTGAGGGATCGCCTTTTCAAAGGTGTGCCCCCTAGCCAAGAAGACTATCGCGCATGTAACAAATGAGGGAGTAGGTTTCCGTTTGTGCTGCTTCTTTCCAAAAAGGTTTCGCCAAAAATTAGGAAAAAAATATTTCACCGTTTTTTCTCTCGTATTGTTACTCAGTTCGGTTAAATTGAAACGCTCCCTGTTAGATGTGACTTCCTTTTTTTATTCCACTTTTGGCGCCCCTTTTTCATTACAACTGTGGAGCGGGCGAGACTCGCTAAATCGACACCTCTTAATGATCAGTTGCACAAAGAAATTTTTCCCCACGTATGTTTATTTTTCACCAACATGGAGGATTAGCAGCAGGGGGATGACCAGCATGAGGTGAGTATTTTATTTCATCGCTCATTTGTTTATTCACCTTTCTTTCTTGAACGGGATGGAGCTAATTGTTAGGGGACGCTATTGTGCACACGGGGTGGTTTCCTTTTGACAGGAAAATGCATTTCGCGTGGTATAGTTGCACGGAGGGAGGACGGTAAGAGGCCATTTAAAACGGGGGAGTTTCAAAAGAGCGCACGTTTTACAAAAAAAAAGAATTAAATGAGGAAAAGGCAAAACATATAGGGGGGGAGAAACTGTTCCCGAAATTGTGATAAAAATAACCCCATGGAAGGAACACATTTCATATGTGTTCCGTTGGAAAACTTACTCGTTTTGTTTTCTCAAAATACATAAAAAAAAAAAAGAAAAAAAAGAGCGGGCAAGTGAAGCGGCAGCCGGGTGGGAACAAACCCTCAGACAGGAAAAAAGCGGGTGAATCTGAGAGCCCCTCGGGGAATATATTTTTGAGTGCAAATTTTTTGGAAGACGTCCGCGGTTGGGGTGACCGAGTGAGATAGCCCCAGGAGATAACCCGATGAGTTTTCCTGCTGAGTCACTTCCTCCTGAGGTCATACTGCTGGCCTAAGGATATCCTCGAATCGCTAAAGAAACTCCACGTCGGCAACAATCCGCTGCTTCGACTGGCGCATCAGGAAGGCCACATTTTCCGCATTGTCATAACTTTTGAAGTACAAATTATCGACCTTCCCTTTCGTCTTCAACGTGTTGTAAATGGAGTATGCCCTCTTATAATCGCAAGTGCTTATCAAACTGGTGATCGTTTCGACGAACTCTCCCTGATCGTAGTTGTCGTCATAAATGACCAACTTAGCAAAATTCATATCGCCAAAGGATGGTTCTACGTTGTCGCTATCGTTATCAGTTAAATTCTCATCGCAAAATCCGTAGGTTTCCAAGTCATTCGTTTTTATGTTGTATTTTTCAAAGTCGAAAGATTCGTCCTGGTCATGACTGTCGTCGTCCCCGTCGTCGTTTTCGTCAATGTCGTCCGCGTCACTTAAGTCTGTTTCGTCCTGGTCGTTGTTTATTTTCCTCGCGTCGTTTTGGCTGAGTACGTTCCACTTTATAAGGCAGCTCACTGATTTGTTCGTGGATTTATTCTGCCCTGCTTCGTTTTCGTCGTCTGGCGGGCTCAGCGCGGAGCCGTCTTCACCAATACGAGGGCTGTTACCCGGACCGCTGTCAGGGCCGTTACCGGGACCGTTGCCCGCACCGCTTCCTGCATCGTTCGCCGCTTCGCCTGACTCACCTCGTAACTCTGCGATTACAGGCTCCCCCGAGGGGGCCCCTTCTTGCGACCCATCAGTTGCACCTACTTGGGGCGCTCCGTGCTCCTCCACAGGGAAGTACCTCCTCTTGCCCTCCCCGTGGCGCTCAAAAAATCGTTGATTAAACTCCAGCACTTTCCTTTTTCTCTTGGACATATATCTTAACTTAGCGAGTTCCACATCCTTCCTCGCAAAGTGCACAGTTGGCAATTCCTTGTTCTCATTCAGAACCCAATTTCTGAAAAGCACATGGAGGTCTCTCTTGTACGAGTAGGTTCTGTATTCTGCATCTATGAAGGTTTCCAATTCATAGATGTCCAGATTGGGTTTATAATTATCATACATGATGCTGTAAAAGTAGTCACGCATGGCATAAACCTTTTTGTATAAAATGTTGTCCTTGTCATTTTTGATGTCTTCGATTTTGTTCAGATCAACTTTTTTGCTTTCGTTATCCAGGACCCCCATTTTTACAAATTCGCTGCACATTGTTTCACTTATCTTTTCCAAAAACTCGTACTTTAAATTGGGGTCCTTCCTTATCCTTTCCAGCCATCCGTCGCCCCTGTTGTGATGCTGTATGTCTTGTTTAACTCCCTCGTTCGTCGTCTGTCCATCGCTATGGGGCTCCGGGTTTTCCTCTCCAGGGGGTTGTTTTTCCAGCATTTGTTTGTCCGTTTCGCTGGGCTGCACTCCCGCGCTGATGTCCTTTGCTGCGTGGCTTCTCTTCGCTTTCTTCGGCTTGGCCTCGGTGCCCTCGTCGTCACTTCGGGGGGTAGCACTGCCAGGAAGACAGCTAGTAACGCCTCCAGTAGCACCTCCAGGAAGGGACGCCACCCCATAGGTGAGGCCCATGATCTTCTTCATCTCGTTGTCCCTGGTGTACCCCCTGGCGTAGCTGTAAAAGGGGTCAAACCGCGTTGCGTCGTAGCAAATGTTTAAATTCTTCCTCCTGGAGCTGTCAATGAAATCGTTCACGGAGACTTCCCTATAGGTGCTATCGAACCTGTTGACATACGAATTCGTGTTGATGTCATACTGGTAAAGATTCATGATGTCGGTTGAGTAGGCATAACTGTGTTTAAGCACATAGTTGGGAACGAACTTGGTTTTTTTAATAACCTTACTGAAAAGTTCATGCCGCTCAAAGTACTTCATTTTGTTCACTTCCTCCTCATGTCCAATTATGTCAATTTTGTAATTCAACTGGAGCAACTTATAGGAGATTTTTTTCATTCTGTCAAATAGGGAATTTAAGAAATAGAAATATTTGTGAACATTTTTTGTTACCCAAATGTTATTTATATAATTAACCAAATAAAAATCATCGATGTATTTCATTCTGTCGACATTTGTAATGATGTTCAGGAAGTATCTATACAGGTTGAAACCTATTTGGTCCCCTTTTTCCAGGGACACGTTTTTTAACTCCACTAGCTCTTTATATATGTCGTCATTTATGTTGTCCTTATTTATGTTTGTGATGTTCACTTTTTTGAAATAAAAATAAATATTGTTTAGGTCCACAAATTTGTTTTCTTCTCCCTCTTGCTGCGTTTCCTCCTCGTCCTTTCGCAAGGCAGTTTTTTTCTTATCAGTTGAACTACCGTTGAAGAGTTCATTCCTGTCTCTGCTGTTGCCCTCCATGGTGTGGTCTTCTTCGTCTCCTCTATCTTCCTCTTCTGCCCCCTCATCGTAGTACACATACTTGCTATCCAAATATATATCATTCACATCTTTGTACAGAATTTTGTCGATCTCCTGGTTGTCCTTCTTTCTAATGGCCCTGATCAGCAAGTTCAGTTTATCCTTCGAGAGCAGCTCCAGCACTTGCTCATCGGGCAAGCAGGTGTATTCGCTCTGCAGGTTAAAGTAGTCCTTCTGATTGGGGTGATACAAAACAGGCGTTCGATAAATTTCTGATTTTTTCCTCTTCTTTGGTCTCTTCCTGTGTTGCAGTTTGGTCGATTTTAACTGGACTCTACTGGACATGTAAATTTTGTTGGACATATTTTTCAGCTTGACTTTAATGTTGTAATTTCTGTAGTGTCTGAAATTTATTGTCGACAGGAGCACAAGCAGGAGAAACGCCTTTTTCATTTTTCCCCGGGGGCGCTCATACAACGTGGACGAGCTTGCGTAAGCACTTACGTAAGTCCTTACGTACGTGTGTGTCTGTGTGTAGGTAGATAGATGTGTGCATACGCCTGAACGCTCGAGTCTACGTGTTCGAACCTATACAGTTCTCTCCTATGCAGTTCGCTCCTATTCGATTCTCTCATATGCGGTTCGATCTACTGGGGCGCCCTGCCGCTCTTGTCATTGTGCTGGGCGCCGGGGAGGTTATGTGATGGCAGTGGGAAAGCGCCTCCGTGGTGAAACGCCGCCGCGCTATAACACCACCGTGTTAAGTGCTAGCGCAATGATCCGCAACTGCACACACGTACACTAGCGCGTGCGCATTTACCCTCCCCGACGACCCACTTGCAGCGATCTCCCCGAGTCAAATCGTACAAGTGCGCCTCTTCTAAGAACCCCTCATTTTTGTTATACCGGGGAATGAAAAAAAAAAAAGATGCAGCAGGGCTAACACAAAAGCGGGGTTTGAAGTGGATCTCAAATTGCGTGAAGTATACATGTGCAGGTCTGCCCCTGGCAAAGGGCAGTACCAATATATGTGTATATGTGGTTCCCCCGTTTAGCTAGGCAGGAGAAATAGGCCAACTGTTCTTTAAGCTTGCCCCAGAATGCGAGGAGAAAACTGGTTAAAGTGGTTAACCGGCCTTACAACAAAAAGGTGAGTTCGCGCGTTCGAAATAATTTGAAACCCGCGAAGTGTCACAAGTTCGGCCTTATGCGAAGAATTTGCTCAAAATGGTATGTACAGAATCGTGGAAGTTTTCTTTTTTTTTTTTGTGCCTTTGTGTCACTATGCATGTGTTCCTATTTAATGGCGTGCCGCGATCGAAAGGGGAACATCGCAACGGGAAAACGGGTCCGCCTTGGCCTGAGGCTGGCTGAAGCGGCCTGAAACTGGATGAAGCTGCTTATATGCGTTCTTCCTTTCAGTCGACAAAATACGGGTTTGTGAAATTTAAAAAACGAGAGGAGGTCGAAGTGGTGGGGTGCAGAGAAGAACAACATAAAACGTTACGGAACCATCGAAAAGGTTCATTGAACTGTTGGAAGAGTCGACCATCGGGGAGCCACACGAGGGGTAGCATTTTAACGCCTCCCCTCTGTGGTTACCCCCGTTCTGCTGGCGGTTTGCAAAGTTTACCCATACCATGGGAAAGGAAACAAATTTGTTGACGAAGGAGAGTTTAAGTTGAAAAGGCAACGTGGAGAACTCCTCAGCGAAGCAGTTCATTCGTTAAACGAGCACGTCGTAACACGACACATAAAAGTGTGTTTGCGTCGCTTCAGACGTGGCTTCCCGCACTTGCAGGAAACTTGTGTGAAGGAGGGGGGCATACCAAATGAAACAAAAAAAATGAAAAAAGAAAAAATTCCACATCGTGCCACACAACGCTACGGATGGACGCAGAAGGCCAAACTAGGGGAGCACACAAAAAAAGAAACTTTTTTTAAAAGTGGGTTCTTATCATTAAAAGTTAGACAGTCACAGTTTGACGTACCCATACAAAAAGTGCACCTCCCATGCTAGGTGCGAAAGGGGGGGAGGAAATGAAGTGGTGATATGGTTTTAATCCTGGGGAGGTACTACCCTGCCGACGCGACAGAAACACGTTAATATATTTTTAAAACTGGTTTAGTTAGGCTAGTGCACGCGTTGGAAAAATGTGCATATGAACTGGTTTGTTCTTTTTTTTTTTTTTTTTTTTTCTTCTTTTCTTTCCGTTCCTTCTCGCTCTTTTGTACACCTCTTCTTATTCTCCCCCTGCATGCAGATATGCTCGCCAAATGGGCAGATGCTGGTCTCATACATGTGGGAATATCCCTTTTTTGTATGCGCCATTTGCACCCACCCACCGCCACTTTTAGGTCCAGACAAAATGAGGTGTATCGCCGGAGGACTTCTTCTCCATCTCCATTTCGTACAACGGAGAGATGCTCCGAAGCCTCTTGACAGACTTAACCAAATTGTGGCACAGCTGCTGCACTTCGAAGAAGGTCGTGAATCTGTTAAACCCAATTCTTATGGACGTGTGTGCAATGTCTTCTGATATTCCTATGGATCGTAATACGTAGCTCGGTTCTAACGTACTAGATGTGCAAGCAGAACCCGAACTGAGTGCTATTTCGTTCAAAGACATTAACAAACTTTCGCCCTCCACAAATAAAAACGACACATTCATGTTTCCAAAATATCGATTTGTTTGGCATCCATTGAAAACGATATAATCTAAGTTTTGCATCAAGTAATCTTTTACATAGTCAAAAAAGAACCTCATTTTTTTATGGTCACGATTCAATTCGATGGATCCCAAATTTGCTGCTTCTCCTAAACCAACAATTAAATGGGTTGGTAACGTTCCAGATCGTAGTCCTCTTTCTTGCCCCCCTCCGTGTATTAAGGCATTTAATCGTATGTTCGGCTTTTTCCTTTTTATATATAATGCTCCTATTCCTTTGGGGCCATATAATTTATGACCCGACATGGACAACAAATCGATGTTCATTTTTTGCACATCGATGGGAATTTTCCCTACGGCTTGGGATGCATCCGAGTGGAAAATTACATTTTTTTCTTTACACAAAAGACCAATATCTTCAATGTCTTGTATGACTCCTATTTCGTTATTAACATAAATGAAAGACGCCATTATGGTATTCTCCTTTATGTTTTTTTCGATATCTTCTAATTTTACAATTCCATTGGGCTGAGGTTTCAGATAAGTCACTTCAAATCCCTTCGTTTGTAAATATCGACACGCCTGCAGGATGCACTTATGTTCAATTTGGGACGTAATTATGTGATTTTTTTTGCTGTCTCTTTCGTTATAGTAGGTGCATATTCCGATCAGTGCTAAGTTATTACTTTCCGTTGCTCCGGAGGTGAAGATAATTTCTTTGTTATTTTTTCCGTTTATCAAATGGAGGATGTTTTTCCTTGCGTCCTCCACTGCCTTTTCAGATTCCCAGCCGAAGAAATGGTTGCGCGAGTGCGCGTTTCCATATATGTACGTCATGTAAGGCATCATTTTGTCCAGCACTCTGGGGTCTATCATGGTGGTCGCCTGGCTATCTAGGTAAAACCTGTTGATTTTTTTTTTCTGGCCTTCGTTTGCAACGTCGTCCACGTGGAAGGGGGCGCTTTCACTGTGGTTATCTCCTAATGGTTCACCATTTTTCTTCCCCACCGAGTTGGCTCCTCCTGGATTATCTCCCCGGTTGCTATGGAACCTCCTCCTCCGCACGCACCCCCCCCCACTGTCATGCAGCGTATGTTCGTTTGTGCTGCCCCTAGGAGTGCATACATTTGTCAGCACTTTAACCCCCCTACTTGTCTTGTCCCATTTACGCAATTTTTCCAAAGCGTTTTCCCTTGGAATGTTCAAATTTTTTACAATGTGGACTAATTTCATCTTCACAGTGGTGACAAAGAAAAAAGAAAAAAAAAAAAAAAATATTTCAGGAAAACCACAACGCTGTATGGGAATTTTTGAAAAAACGCTGCTGGTTGCGGAATTTGGTCAAATAAGGTTCAAAAGGGGTTTAAAAATCTGGCTAATTTTACTTAAAAAAAGGAAATTAAATTATGTATATATCAAATGAGGGATACAATTCCCCATGTTTACAGAGAAGGGACGAAAACTCTCAACAGCTGCACGATTGTATCTTGCTTAGCTGCTTCGCTTAAAAAAAAAAATTAAAGATTTTCGAATAATGAGGAGTCCTTTTGACGAACTGAAAAGTGTGACACCTGTTATGATGTCATAGTGAGTTTAAAAAGGAGGGAAAAAAAACGTAAAAAATGGGGATATACACTTAAATAAATTCCGCTTATAGAACCGCAGGGTGCGCAAACATAATAAATATATATTACACGCATATTCGAACACTATTTGAAGCAAAAATGAACGCTGATGTTGCGGTTAAGAGGGAGTTATAAAACGTGACCCCATTGTGTCATTCTTACTTTTACTTGCAGCTTCGCCACTCGTCGCAAGTGAATTTTACGAATCACAAAAAGATGAAAAGGAAAAAATGGGACATATGTCAAAAGGGGAAAAAAAAATTCCCTTTCGCGCTCTTTCTTTTCCTGCACCTTTTTTTTTCATTTTACCCCCTTTGGAAAAGGTTGCCTAATTTTTTTTTCCATTTTTTTGCAACTGCGCTGATATTGTAGACCTCGAAAAAGGACGCGGTTTGGGGGGGAGACCACGTCGCCAGGTTGGTTATTCTGTTAACTATCACGGGCATTTTTGCAGACTTAAAAAAGGGCACCCTCGTGGCGTTAAAATGGGCACACATACCCATACAACATATATGTTACATACTTGAGTGGCGTCTTTTAAAAAAATTTCCTCCGGACGGGGAAAAAAAAAGGCCTCTCCGAAGACTCGAATTGTAGGGCGGAAAAAAAAATAAAAACGTTGCTACATGAAATAGCATCAAATAGGGTTAAAAAAGTTTTTAAAAAAAAAATCCTTCAAGAGTGAATAGCCATAAAAAATGCAAAGTACGAAAACAATGTATCGCAAAAATGTTGAAAGGCTGTTGCCCATTTTCAAATAGAGCAAATTGTAACGGTGAATGCATCATGCTCTTCATGCGCAAGTGTGTATTACACGCACAGGAACAACAGCGTGGGAAAGAGGGGATCTCTCTTCCTTTTCTTCAAATTAAATATCACAAACGAGGAATGGTCGTTCATGTGGCTCATCTATTCGGTGAAGATGGCGGAATTTCCTTCCTCTCATGACTAATTTCGTACAAAAAGAAAAAAAAAAAAAAAAAAGAGCCGCACATGTCGGATGGACAATTTAGCTGGGAAGGCTCCCCCCCTTGAGGAGGTCCCCGAAAATGTCGTGGGCTTGAAAAATTAAAGATATCACAGTGACGTTGACGGAATTGCCAACCAATTTGTACTTATGCCTGTTTGTCAAAAATGGTGGAAATTTAAATTCATGACAGCAGCAGGGTGCTGTCCGTTCGTCTTGTGGTTTTCCATGGGGAGATTCGCCACCACGACACACTCCATCATTTCGTGATTTTATCACCGGATTCTCTGCCAAATGGAGCCCTTCATTGAACAAACAAGTGTCGCTATGTCTATTAGCACAGTAGTGCACACTACACCTGTAGGCGCACATATGGTTAATGTGGTCCATGTTCCAGTATATATTTCCGATTCTGTTTTTTCTGTTTTCGCCTCCCTCCGTATTACCTGTGCTGGTGTGCATCTTATAACCCATCAGTCTGCATATCTCTACGGGGGTAAAGTACCGCACTCGGTTTTTATATTTGCTCATTTGTTTGATTATTTCTCCGTGGTGTGGTTGATCCGGGTTGGGCGGTTTGCTGGAGTGACCCTCATGGGGTAAGTTGTCTCGAGAGAAGTCATCCCCGCAGGATCCATCGCGTGATGGGTGGTTTCCCATGTGGGATTTTTTCATATGTCCAGTTTCTGTATGCCCACTCTCTGCATGCCCACATCCCGTTTCTCTGCCACTTGAGGGGGAGCCCCCTCTGCGCCTGGAAAAGTAGAGAACCGAGCCGGATCCGTTAATATACCTCCCATAGTTAGACGTGAAGCACATGGAATGCAACTTGCTCGAGTTAATCAAGTTTCTGAAGCTTCTCTGATTTCGAAGGTCCTTTATGGCTCCACTCTTCTCTACATAGTAACGACCCCCGTCGAAGCAGCACACATTCCCATTTCGGTTAATATCGATTATGTCAAAACAGAATGACGAGCATTTTGTCAGGGTACTGTTCGCGACTTGGTATTCCTCCAATGTCCCGTTGGTTAAGTTTATATTTTCATTTGTGTTGCACGTTATTGGGTACCTGTCATTATGGTCCAAGAATGTGGCCAAGCTGGGGGTGTAAAAAGAGTACTTTTGGGAAGGCCTAAAATTGGGGTTGTTTTCAAATGCGGGGATGATGGATTTGGCTGGCATAAGCGAATTACTGTACATTGGAGTTATCCCTCCACTGGGGAAGCTTTCCAATGATGTAAGATGAGGAGACTTGTGCTTCTTCCTACATATGCAATAAAAACGAAGACGCTCATTCGGTATGCCATACTGCAGGGGGGACAGAAGGTAGGTCTGGAAATTATAATTCTCCTTAACTGAATTTATGAAATAAAAAAAGGAAGTGGATAATTCAAAATTTCGGACATTCTCGATAAAAATATATTTTGGCAAATTCTCTTCCTTCACCTTCTTCAGCAAATTGCAAATGTGGATGAAACTTCTTGACCGTTCGTCCTTTTCGATTTGTAGGGAGCTTAAGGCTTGGTCTAGGTTTAGCTTATCAACGTGGTACTGCTCTGGTCCTTGGGGGGGTTCCCACAATACTTTATCGTAATCGCTTTTTTTATTTGTCCATTTGAAGTGGATGCCTCCAACAACGTTACACTTTGGGGTGACGAAATGGGCCTTATCATCTGTATCACTGCTTGCATTCGCGCCACAAGTTGGGGTGAACAAATTATTCCTATTATCCGATTTGTCTAAAGGGGAGGGAGAACTTTCTTTTTGCTTTTTTTTTCTTTCCCCCAGAGGGGATTCCTCTGCTGCGCAGTAGGCGTACTTTCTGAACAAGTCATCCAAATTGATCTGCTGAAATTTCTTGTTCTGTCTGGTGTACGGCTGACATGGGTTTGATATTAACAGAATGAAAATTTTGTGGTAATCGAGAAAGTGTGCGTCCAGGTTGTTTATATCCGTTTGAAGGATGTAATTTTTATCTTCGACGAAGGGAATCCCTTTCATGTTGTTCCTTCCCCCTTTGTGCGCATATTTGGGGGCCGTTCCCGGCTGGGTGCGCAGCTCCCTTTGACACTCCTTAAAGAATTTATCGATATATTTTTTTTCCGTTAGGTAGATTGAATTTTCCTCGAAGTTATGGTAGTGGGTTTGATTCGCTAGGGAGTTAAGATCTATCGATATGAACCGAAGTGTGTCATTGAAAAGGTTGGCACAGTTGAAAGCATGCTTTTTTGTAGCTTCCCCTTTGCGGATGCCTTTTTCTTCCCTCTCGTGGAGGCAATTTATTAGGGCTTGTAGCATGCTGTAGTGTAGCCCCCCTATTCCACTATAAAGGTCTAACACTTTTATGTTTCCCATGGGGCTGATTTGAGGGCTCATTACTGAGGCAGAGGAGGAGGAGGAGCAGCTGTTCATGTTTCTTACGCGTCGGTTTAGTAGTACGCCTAGCCACCATCTTCTGTTTACGTAAAAAAAAATGGAGCGACCAATGTATTCTCTGTTTTTTGTTCACCACTGGGAGAGCGCCTTTGGCGAGGAAGCAAATGTATTAGGAACCGAATGGATGGACTTCCCTTAAGCCCACGCAGCAGATGCTTGGAAATGGGCACTGTCGTAAGGAAATCAACCAATGCGTGGAAGTGCCCTGCGATCAACCTGTAGTTGGACGGGGCTGAGAAGAAGTGTCCTCCCCCAAATGGTGTACTATTTGGGGGAGGGAGTACCTGGTATGGGTGCAAGAACAAGTTCGTTAAAATGGGTAAACTAAAGCGACTCCGCGTGGGGCTACCTTCCAAGTAACTTGATAACCTATTGACAACTTTACGGCGAAGCCACTCCTGAACAGTCCCCTTTTCCCAGTGAGTCCTCGTCGCGAAAAATTATGACCCCAATTACTTGACACTATCAACAGATTTGTATTCACGTGCCGAACAAAATTTGGGAGAGTCCAGCCCTCCGCCTCTTTTGGGTCAATGTGGTGCCATTCCCCGATAGGATTTTTTACTTAAGCCTACAGTTCACCTCCATTTCGCTCCCGTCTCTTCCGCTGAGTTCCCCAAAGGAAGCACCAACTGTAGCTCCATCAGCATTATTGTGCGGGGTGTAATATGCGGTGCAGAAAGAGGTGAACATGGTCAAACCCAAACGAACAAGCATAATATGGTATGCCTAAACAACGTTACGCCATAAGAAAGGCCCTACATAATACTATAAAAAAAAAAAAAAAAAAATTTTAAGCCAAGATACGCGCATATGTATGGATATATCACTACTCTCAAGCCCTTATTGTTTCTTCACTTTGTTATTTTTTCCGTTGGCTCATTCCAGGAGACATAGCTTATCTACCGTTCTGACGCGCATACGAAATAACTACTTACAGGCGTTTTCTAGGAAAACGAGTCACCAGCCGCAAACTGAGAAAACACGAACTTTTTTATAGTAGTGGCTCACCCTTCGCACATACAGCCAGAAAGAGTCTCACCGTTGCTGCCTCAACTTCTTGACCTGATACCCCCCTCTTCGAAGCGAAAAAATGTTCTCAACCAGGTAACACACGATTGGGGAGATAGCCAGCGGAGGGGAAGCACATACACTCGTATGAATGCATACCGACTTCTCCTTAGATTTAAATCCGATGACTATAGAGTAGCACACTTGCATACGCATGTTATGTCACACGTTTGTCCTGCTCACCTCTGTGTGTTTTCACTTTTTCATGCACTCTTAGGAGCGAGTACGACCGGGGAGTAAACACCTTTTCGCCAGAAGGCAGACTTTTTCAAGTGGAATACGCGTTGGGCGCTATAAAGGTAGGTGCAAGAGGGAGGAAAAAAAAAAAAAAGAAGAAGAAAAGAGTGAGATGGGATGGTATATGAGATGAGGTCATCAGGGGCCTAGCACTAACTTGCAGAATTTTCAAAAATGTCCACATAGAGTGTATCCGAGTGAGGGAATGCCTCTCCGGTTGGGCATCCAAATTGGTCTGTGGCTCCGCTTAGTGCGAGTCCACTTTGTGTGACTCCACTCTGTGTGCTCCCACGTCTGTCCATTTTGTACCCCCTCCCCCATTTGACAGCTGGGCAGCACGGCAGTTGGTATCTGCGTGAACGATGGAGTAATCTTGGCCTCGGAAAGAAGAATCGCCTCTGCATTAATAGAAAAACATTCAGTGGAGAAGCTGCTGCCGATAGATGACCACATAGGATGTGCCATGAGTGGACTCATGGCCGACGCAAGGACACTCATAGACTATGCAAGGGTTGAGTGTAATCATTACAAGTTCATATATAATGAAAATATAAACATAAAATCCTGTGTAGAATTAATATCGGAGTTAGCATTAGATTTTTCCAACTTGTCTGACAATAAAAGGAAGAAAATTATGAGCAGGCCATTTGGAGTTGCGTTGTTGATAGGAGGGGTCGATAAGAATGGGCCTTGTCTTTGGTACACGGAACCGTCTGGAACGAACACGAGATTTTTAGCTGCTTCCATTGGGTCTGCTCAAGAAGGGGCCGAATTATTGCTACAAGAAAATTACAATAAAGATATGACCTTTGAGGAAGCTGAGATTTTGGCGCTCACCGTTTTGAGGCAGGTGATGGAGGATAAGCTATCTTCCTCCAACGTGGAAATTGCCGCTGTTAAGAAGTCTGACCAAACCTTTTACAAGTACAACACGGAGGACATCTCCAGGATCATCGAGGCGCTGCCGTCGCCCATCTACCCGACGATCGACATGACGGCCTAGGGGGGAAGAGGTGAAGAGGTAAAGATACAAAGCTGCAGAACGGCCGAGCGACACGAAAGAATAGCCCTGCGGGGCTAAACAAAACAGCGCACAAAGATAATGCCCCTTCGCAGGGAAAAATCGACAAACGAATGAGCAGCATCGCGAGGATAGAAACTCTGCGGGCGCGTTCCCCGAGCTGAGCGAGTCCAGAAGGGAGATGTTATGTAACAAGTGGACAAGTGTTCCACTGCGTCGGTTGGACATTTGGCCACTTCGCCGTTTTATCCATCCATTGTTATTATTACTTTTTTTTTTTTTGCAAAAAATGTCCCATTTCGCGCCTGTGTAAGAACATTCACAAACGTGCCCTCCTGCCCAACTTGACACTTTTTTAATTTTTTTAAGAAGTGCATATTTTGAAATTGCACCGCGGGAAGGGATGTTTATACGAGCAGAAAGGACACCTCCCGTTAGTCATTTTTATTGTCGTATTATTTCTGTCATGTCTTTATGGAGGAGCCCCTCGTGTGGGCGTACTTGCGCCGTAAAAAAGTTACAAACACGACAGGGGGGAGAAAGGGCGAATGTTACCATTTCCTGGCGCACAAGAAGGAAAGCACATCACGGTGCCATGTGTGTGCACATGCGTCTATGTATACATATATACGTATATATTTATATATAGGTACCCCCTTGAACGGCGCGCTCTCCTACGTGGTTGCCGATGGAGTTCCCCCGTTTTTTCTCCCAATCCGTTCGCGGCACACATCACTCCATTATGAACGGATTGTGGATATTTTTAGCCAGCTGCGTCGATTTGACAAGATCGTCATAACTAATTTTATAATGTTTCATAAAATCTTTGTTCGACGTTTGCAGAAGCATTTTCAAATTGATCGGTGGGATGTTGGGTTTATAAACCAACTCGTTAAATCTTCTGTTAAAGTCAGCATAATTGTGTATCCTGAGCAACTCTTTGTAGTAAGTGATATAATTGTCATAGTATAAATTCATGTAGGCAATGTGTCTGGGGATTATTCTTAAGCGGAAGCTGTAACTAAAATATTGTGGAAAGGAGAGAGTATCTCGAAAGGTTTTGTTCATATGTCTGATAAGGTATAAGAGTTTGGGTCTGATGGTTCTGTACACATTGTAGGTGAATATCCTTGGGTACTTTTTGATAAATGCCTTTAAATCTTCCTCTTCTATGGTTTCATGCAGGTGTAGCAATTCTTTATATTTTTTTTTTAAATTTCCAAAGGCATAAAATTGTGGGAGATTATACAGAATATGCACCAATTCTTCGTAGTCATATTTTAACTCATTTCTGTAATGAGTTATTCTTTTGAGGATGGTGTTTTTATTTACTAAAGATAACCTCGGAGATGTTTTAATAATTTTTTTTATCATTTCTAAGTTCAGCCCCTTTTTCAGCACTTGGTTCGTGGTTATTATTTCCTCTCCCTTTGCGTTAAAATTTATTTCTTCTCTTTTTATTTTATTTTCTTCCACATGGCATTTTTCGAAAAAGCATTTTAACTCTTCTGCCGTCTTGAAATGGTTCATAAAAAAAAATTCAACATCATCGTAGTGTTTTAGGAAGTAGTCGAATTTGTCCTCCAGGGGGGAAGCCTCGCTTATGCTGTTTATGGAAATTTCAGGGATTGCTCCGTCGTCGGTTTTGTCGTTGGCGCTTTGATTATCGGCAGTTTCATCATCTGTGGTTTCGTCATCGACGGTTTCGTCATCGGCGGTTTCGTCATCGGCAGTTTCGTCATCGGCAGTTTCGTCATCGGCGGTTTCGTTATCGGCAGTTTCGTCATCGGCGGTTTCGTTATCGGCAGTTTCGTCATCGGCGGTTTCTTCATCGGCGCTTGGATCATTCACAGTTGCTTCGTCAGCAGTTGGTACACCCCCGTCGGCGTCGCCCAAGGAGGCAGCCCGCGCCATATACGCCCTCCGGCGCCTATCCCTCTCGCGCTTCCGTTCCGCCTTTCTCAACTTCTTCCTCTGCCGTATGCTGAGGTGCATCTCGCTGCCCCCCCCCATGTTCTTGTACTTCTCCATCTGCATAAAATCAACGGTGTCTTTGTTTCGAATAAAATAGTCAATGGCCTTTTCCAGGTTCCCGAAAATGAGGAAAAAAACAGCCGACTGGTCATGACACTCGGGGAAAAAAAAAAAACGAACATCTATTTGGATAAATCTGAAGATAGAATAAATATCGAAATTAAAATAATCCTTTGCTTTCAATTTATTTACAATATCCAGGAAAAAATTTTTATCCTTCTGTAACATGGCTAGTAAGTTTTCTTTATACCCTATGGCATAATTTTCGTAGCTTTTTAATTCTTCATTTTTTTTTTTGGCCAACTTGGATAATCTGATAAATTTACAGTTAAAGTTTTTTAATCTAAATTGTAAGGCCCACTTGAATGCGTTCAGAAATCGGTCTGGGATTTCATGGATTATTTCGCTTTCTTTCCCGTGGAAATCATTTCCCAATATGGTGTTGTCTACTTTTTTTACCTTCCTCAGATTGTCTATGTATTTCTGCGTCTTGGCGAACAGCTGGGTTTTGCTTCGCCCACGTTCCAGCCGTGTGTATGCAGGTGGCGCGCTGGATGCGGTGCATTCGGAAGGAGGACCCTCGCACAGAGGATTGACAAAGGAATTGTCAAGCAACCTGCCAAGTGAGCTGCCAACCGAACCGCAGCGTGGGGCTCTCAAATAAAATAACTCCCGTCTGCGCCTTCCCCCGTAGGATCCCCTTACCACGCGCACAGTATGGATAACATCTGGGGATTTAAATGGGCCCCCATTCTCGCTGCTAACCTTGTCTTTGTTCTTCCTCATGATGTTGCCACAAAAAATCCTTTCGCGCCTAACGTAACATGCAAATGTGTTCAATTTTGTAATTACTAGTAGGAGGAAAATGTATTTATTCATTTCCTTGGGGGTTCTTCTAACTCATTGGGAGGGCTCATAAACTACGTTCTTGTTTAAATAGCTGAAGAGTTACAAAATTCTTATTAAAATAGAAAAAAAAAAAAAAAAAAAAAAAAAAAAAAATGGCAGGGGAGGCGTCCGCCAAGCCAAGGAATGCCAATCCAGAGGGGAACAATACACAAAGAACAAAACTACTCGTCACATTATTTTACAAAAAAAAAAAAGAAAAAAAAAAAAAATTGGAACATCTAACGCTCAAGGGCGAAAATGAAGCCTAAGAAGATAACCCCCCGATAGAATGCATCACAAGAGGGGGCAACAGAAATAATGAGTTTATATAAAAGAGAAACAGGAATATACCAAAGCCCCTTGTCAAGCATCAATGTTCAAAATGGAAAAGCTTCCAGAATTTGAAAGATGCGAAAGAGTAAATGTTCGTTCTGTTTAGAAGCGGTGGAGGAAAAGAACAAAACCTGGGGGAGGGAAGAGAAAAAAAAAAAAAAATTTGACATGTGTCCACGCGAAGGCGTACAAAGTGAAGCCATCACATTCGTGAAATTGAAAACACCACATGCCGTTACTGAGGAGCATGTGAAAATTTTTAAGTGCCCTATTTTATGTCATCCAAAGAATAGCAGAAGTCATGGCAAAAAGCTGTTTGCATCAGCTGAGGTGATAACTAGCTTGGGAAGACTTTCCAAATCGTGATTATTCAGAAAAGTGACAGACTGGATGGGGGGAATGGCGAGTCGATCCTATGCTTCGCGTTAACATGTCGTGCCCATGACCGGTGCGATAAAGTGGGACGGGAATACGTTTCAAGAAGTGGAAGCGAAAAGGTGAAGCAAAAAGGTGTAGGAAAAAAATGTAGTAGAGAAAACACAGTAGCAGAAATGAAGTAGCAAAAATACAGGAAAAAAATAACATCGCTGCCCCTTAACATGTGGAAGGAGAAGAACTGAAGGCTCCCCACCCCGAGGACACGCAGATTGTTCTACGCCCGGAATACCCCTCACCCAGTGGTGGGAAAATGCTCAAGTACGCACGCAAGCTAAATAAAAAGCTGATTTACAAGCTACACGTACAGAATGACAAAGTTGTAGAAATGCCCATGTTTCTGGTGGACAACCTGTATTTGAGGAACATAAAGGAGTTACTTATTCTGTTAAACAATGCCATAACGTTCAATAGGAAAGAGTTTTTGGAAAACTACAAGAGGGTATTACTAACGGATAGAGAGAGCAATGGCAAGTGTTTTGATCACTCGAAGGGGAGGGAAGAGAAGAATGGATATAATGGTGGTGGATTTGTTGCGCGGGAATGCACACCACCTCATTGTAGTCACTCCCTTTTTGAGGGTGAAGTGAATGGTGGAACTGACCTAAATGGCCATCAGGGACACGCGCTGGAGAGGCAGCACCAGACGATGCAAGCTGGTTCGATTTTTAAAAATGCACATATATCGCCAGGTGGTCGTGAGAGCCGCTACAAATACGACAATGAAGAGTACGACGAGTTAATTACGCACTTGTCGGAAGTGTGTAAGGACGCCTCCGGCTCGCATGTGTTCGAAGCGCACGAAGTGGAAGATGCGGATGAGGCAGACGAAGCGGAAGAAGCACACGAAATGCACAAAGTGCACGAAGCAGATGAGGACGACCCCCCCGCACAGGAATATTCACTAATTGGCTACCTACCAAATGAGTTCTTTTTCAAGTCCCTCAAGCAGAGAGTACTGTCACTGAAAGATTACCTCTCCTTTAGTGACCTCTTCTCCTTTATTCACCTATTCAGTCGAATCAACGACACAGGTATGATGAAAATCCTGGGGGAGCAGTATATACAGAAGCAACAGAAGGAAAAGGACAAGCGGGTTAACAACAAACAAGTGGTGAATTTACTAAATATATTCCTCAAATTGAATTACAAAAGGAACAGCACGAATCATATTGTTGACAATCTGGTGGAAAGCATGAATGTAAACGTTTCGACTCATGACTTGAAATTGGCAGCACTAGGTTTTGCATGCTTGTCCAGATTGAATCTATACAACATGGCCTTTTATTGCTACGTGGACACTTTCTTGAGGAACTTGGATAAATGTTCCCACTTGTGCTGTTCGATGGTACTTCACTGCTTGGGGTACTATAAGCACTATTGGGCCACAAAGAGGAGGGAGCTATTGGAGCAGGCTAGGCTTCTTAGGAAGTCAGCAGGTGGTCAGTTCGGGGGGACACAGTCCCCAGGGTGCGATGCCTCTCGTGGAGCTGAGAGGATAATCACAACGCGCTGCGGAAATGTTAACCGCCTATCCTTGCAGCTGAACAGAGAAAAGGCGCACCTGATTGAAGAGCTGGAGAAGGGGATGATCGATCAGTTGGTTGAGATGGAGTTGGGATCCATTTCGGAGAAGTCGATCAGTAGCATATTTCATTTTTTCTTTCTGTCAAAAAGGGGCGTCTCAACTGGGGACGTGGGTGGGAGTGGCAACCTTGGCGAGAACCGCAACGAAAGAGACCACCTCCTATTGGGGAAGCTGGTGCACATTCTGATTACGAAGAAAGTAAACTTCGATCAGCCGAGGCGATTGCTGATGTGCTGCTACCCCCTGATCATCCACAGGTATTTCTCCAACATACAAATATCGTCCTATTTCGTGATGCAATGCGCTAAACTGATCAGGCGCCTCAAGGAGAAGAAGCACCTGGACAATTTGCTCTTTGTGTTGACAGGCTTCACACAAAATCAGATGATATTTTACCAAAACAGGAGTAAGAACAAAACGGCTCCACGAATATATTTGGACAAAAAAAAAAACAAACTGCACAATTTTAAGATTGAAAATAAGTACATCGATATGTTGGAGAAATGTGAATATGAAGTGAATGTGCTCGAGAGGGGACCCACAGAAGAACCCGTCAGTTGCAGGTCAGCCATTCTATACATCTTTAGCGAGTTAACCAACTTAAATTACCAATTAAATAAGGACCAGATTGTTCTGTACTTGCAACTCTTCTCCAGTTTTGACATCAAGCTAAGTACCGACATTAAGAAGAAGTTATTTCGTCTAGTAATGGACTCCAAAAATCAGTTAAGCAGTTTGGCCCATGTGATACTTCAGCTAGCCATTCAGATTTATGGCATTTCCAGCACCTACCTGAAGACAATCGCTTTGCAGTTTTTTGAAAAAATGGACCACGAGTTGGGCAAATTACACAATATAGGAACGAACAATGAAGAGCTTCTTTTTAGGTGCATAATTTGTGGCCATGACAATGATAGCGCGATGGAGAAGTACTCCTATCTGTGCGATTTAGAAAAACTGGGTGACATCCTTTTCGTCTTCGACCAGATAGATATTCATAACAAGGACTTCATATCGAACGTTTCAAATTTGCTTTGTGCGAATAATTTCTTCCTTCTAACGCATCGAAGGAGTAACTTCAGCTCGTTCGTTCATCTGCTGCACTATTTAGGCAGCTTACCAGTCGACATAGATTCGGTTAAGAAATTGATCAACTTTGTTTTCACATGTGTGGCGGCGTATGTGGATTTATCCTACCGGAAATATGTACAGCGCGCATGGGAGCGACAGAAAATGGAAGAACATAACGTGAATGGGTCTTCTCAAGAGGTCAATACGTCGCTCCGTGATGATCCCCATACAAGTAGTTCCTCCCAGACGGAGGAGGATCCCTCTTTTTTCGAAGTGGACCATGCTTTCATAAAAGGCAGAATCTACCTCAAAGATTTGATCCTTTTGCTGGACGCGATTCGTATTTGGAAGGCCTACGATTTGGTTTCCCTGCTAGGAAGCGTGACTAACATGGTAGGGGCGCGTGCCCATGTATGCACGTCTACGAGGATATGTCTTTACATTTTCCTCTACACATTTACCGCTAAACATCTGCCGCTACACATTTTCCGGTGCTACCTCCGCCCCTCTGGCAGATAAATTCCGAAGCGATACAGGCCCTGTCCGATGAGGATGTCGAACTGGTGAATTACATTTTCATCGACATGGGTCTGATGAACAAGTGCTTGCTGGACGAGGCGAGGTAATACCGCGGCGGGCGCAAAGTGAGGGTGGCTGTTAAAAGGGGGTGGAAAATGATGCGAAAATGGTGAAAAAATGGTGAAAAAATGATGAAAAAATGATGAAAAAATGATGCGAAAATGCGACTACAAGATGGGTGCCTTTCGGCCCATCCCACTAACCCCCTCTTTTCCACACCCCTTCAATTCAGGCGCCGGGGACTCACCATCGGAATGAACTCGTGACAAGCGCGCACGCAGGTGCATGTAAGTACACGCAAGTACACACAATCACGCTTACATTACATTCGAACACGTCTGCAAAATGGCAAGACATGTATGATGCAACTCGTGCGTGCATCCTGTGAAAGCGTTCTCGTGCCCGGTTTGGGAAGTCATATGGAAGGCTGCTATGCGAAGCTTAAGAAACAGAAAACTACCCCTTCTCCAAAGCGCATAACAGACTTAAATTTCGCTGAAATATATTCCTGCAGTACTCATCGCAGTTATCCTCTCTCATGCTGAACAAATCATATTCTCTGTAGTTTACGATGACATTCCATAGATGTTCCTTTTCGATGTATTTTTTTAATCGTCTTATGAAGACTGTGCAGATAATATTTTTCAATTTGTAGCTTTCCAAAAACATTTTTTTTATTTTAAAAATCCTGAAAAGGAAAAGGAAAGATTCCGTGTAGCAGCTCAGCTCTAGCAGCACCAAGCTGAGAAGGAAGTTTCCCCAAAGGTGGTGATTATTCAGATTAATGGTTAACTTAATGCAGTTAAAGAAATCATATATCCACTTAGTTTTGTACACACTAGAATTTAAAAAGGAGATCTTATCCACTATATGTTTTTCCTTATCACTTAGTGAGAACCAATAATCTTCATATCGTTTCCCATTTTTATTTCCTTCCATTTTTAGGTTACTAGAATTTTCCACTGGAAAAATTTTGTCCTTTTCTTTCTCTAAAATGTAGTTCCTTTGTTTTGGGTTAGCTCCATTGGGCTCCTTTCCTTCTACATGTTTATTCGGACTCACTTTGGTAGCGGCGGTGTGCTCATTTGTTGCCTCAAATTTGTCCAGTTCACTCAGGTAGACGTAGCTGCATGGACTCGATCCCGAATCGAAGGTGAAATAATGTTTTAAAAAGTTGTAGTACTTACTATTTTCTTTGTAAATTTCTAAAGCTTCCATAAATTTCTGGTCAGACCAAATTAAATTCTGCTTCCTCGTCGTAATATTTCCAATGTGCGTCTGGACAGAATTATTTCTAAAATTGAACTCAATTAGGGATGACAAGTGGGGAAGATTTAAGAACAAATATTTTTCTTTGTACTTCACATTTTCTTTGCTCATAAATCTTTTGCAGGAAAATAGGAGGACATCCAGGCGTGTTAGCAGCAGACTGTCTACCTCACAGGGGATGTTTTTTCCCCATTGTTTTTGGTCCATTAAACTCTTTTCACTTAACTTGGTCGACAAGAACCCCAGCTTGTCATTTTTTACGTGATCTTCAGGACCCTTCCACTGCAGAGTTAGGAAGAAGTGAAACTGGTACCTCCCCAGGAGGTCTTCAAAATGATAGCGGATGTATTCTCTATCGTCGAATATTCTCGCTCGTATGTTCATTCCTACGAACCTGTCTAGGTTTTCTTCCAGGCGCAGGCCTTGCATGTCTAGGCTGTCCACAAATTGGAACTTACTGATAAATTGGAAGGGCAAGCAGGCATACACGTGGTGGTCGCGAGGGGAGCCGGGTTCGCCTGGTCTTCTCGGTTCGCTTGGTCCGCTTGGACCGATTCGATCGCTTCCCTTACTTCGCCGTCTCCACTTACTACGGTGAAGACCGCTCCTTCCCCCACCGTCGCTATCCTCTCTGCTGCCACAACTCACTGTTTGTGATTTTTCCATTACGTCGATGGACCTGCTGCCGCTGCTCCCATCTGTATCATTCCTCACCGAAAAAAGTCTAACATGAAAGAACTTGTGCTTTGAATCGGCCTTATAAATCCATCCCTTCACGATTGAATCAGCACTTATGTTGTGCAAAAATTCTTTCTTCCCTTCTCTTCCGAATGTTATTCGTCTTTTACATTTCGCCATTTCCTTTCTTTCAAGTCCCCCCCCGATGTCGTCAATCACAAACACGCTGCCTGTGCTGTGGGTGCGTCGTCTGTTGCTAACACATCCGTAGTTTATGTAAAATGCTTCATCCGCAAAGGGGACGAGCGAAATGTCGCAGAAACCAAGGTGATCTTTGTTGTCAACTTCGTCTTCGACGCAATTCTTTAGGTCTCCGTTTGCGCTAAAGTGGCTGCTCCCGTTGGAGCAGTTTCTGCCACTGAAGTGGCTTCTACGACATCTAGCTGTTTCATCGCTCCTGTAGCTACAATCGCTACAGCCGCCAACTTCGCTAACCTCTCTTTCGTTAGTGTCCCCCCCTTTGTCCCCTCTCACCGCGCCCTCCCACACCTTCGCTCGTCTGGCATTAGCCCCCCTGTCCGAGTACTTCCCTCTGTGGGGGCTGTTCCCGATCATCTTTGCGTCCGTTTCGTAGTACTTTCTACTTCTCTTCCCGATTCGGCTGCGCTTGTCCGTTGGGGTTATACGTGGGCTGCCACGTGGCTTACTACGGGGACTACTATGAGGGCTACTACTTTCAGAAACACTCGTATCGCCCCCAACACTGCCAATCGCATCGCTGCCCACACTGCCATCTGCACTATCACTAGCCCAGCTGATGTCCCACCCAAGCGCATTACCCGCATCCCCAACGCTTTCCCGTTTGCGGGGTCTCCTCGAGATTACACTCGGTGGTGTGACTGTACTGACCGCATTGATTTCACTGATATGCCCCACCGCATCGGAATGTTCACCTCGGGACGCCCTCCCTTCGGCGTACCTCTCCATAGCCGCCTGGACCAAGGCGGAACTCACATAATTGCTGTCAATATAATCATAATACCCATTTGTGAATGGGCTGTAGTTATTTAGAAATAATTTACATATAGAACCGATTCTGTTTTTTTGTTCCAACAAATTGAAAGACGTCTCTACTTCTGTCACCAAGGAGTTGCATAGATCCTTTATGTCATTTGGGACTTTCCCATTTTGACAAGAAAAATTTAACCTTTCCCTTCCTCTCTGTGGTTCCTCCTTTTTTTTACTATAAAAAAAATCATCAGTGTATTTTCGAAATAGTGGGAACTCCTTCTTTAATTCTTCTAGGAACTGTTGATATGCTTTTTGTTCTTTGTATTTCATTTTGTTTTCGCCTTTGTAACTTTTTTCTGTTTGGGGTAGCTGGGGTGACGTTCTGTTGCTCTGGGGGGCTATGTGCATAGTCTGGACAAAAGTATGCCGGAAGGGGACGGCAGTAGGTAAACGCGAAAGGAAACAAGAAGTACCCAATTCAGGAGAAGACAGACAAATGTGTAATCACACAAATGGGGGAAAAAAAAAATAGAAAAACAAACAAGTGAATAAACAAACGAACAGGAAAACAAACCAACAGGAAAACAAACAAACAGGAAAAGAAACGAACAGGAAAACAAACGAACACGTAAACAAACCAAGACGAAAACAAACCAACACGAAAAAAAAACCAAGACGAAAACAAACCAAGACGAAAACAAACCAACACGAAAACAAACAAATACGAAAACAAACGAATGATTCTTGCAAGTATCTATATAAGAAGGGGGGACACAAAAACAAATGGGCCAACTGGGGGGCGGGGACACTCACACCATTGTTCAGTGAGTCAAAGGCGTCAATTGAATTAGGCAGGTGGGGGAAGCGGCAGGCAGGTGACGACCAATAAATTGTCCAATTAGCGATCCGTTCACTGTTTGGCCCAATTTTGAAAAAGGTGAGTGCATTGCCAGATGGACCAACGCAACGGAATGTCAACAGGAAGGCTTCGTACGTATAGATACGTGAAGGTAATGGCACATTCTAACTAAGAATATACTATAAAGGCGATAAGGCGGACGGATTACATATGCGACTGGGAGGTGAGTCATAAAGGAATGGGAAGTTTTACATTCTCATTGTTCGTTTCATTTTTCCCCAAGCTGGAATCTTAACACCCGTGCTGCGTGCTTCTTATCATGCTCCGTTGTTTTCTACACACAAATTATTTTTTACATTTTTCTGTTTTTCCCCTCGTGGATACTCTCCTGGGTTATTCCAATGTTGTGCATATCACTTGCACACAATTTAGGAAATAAAATAAAAGATAATCATGTAACAGAATGGCGAAGCAGCAACTCTCGCAGAAGCGGAGTGAGCACTGACTAGCTTGTTCCCTCAATGTATCCTTTCGCGCTTGTCACTATGTGCGCACAGATTTGCGACATAACTAACTAATGCATCAAAAGGGAGAAAAAAAAAAAAAAAAAGTGATAAATT